AGTACCACCCCTGCCACTAAAGCCTCCCAGTATTAGCTTTGATCCCAGAGCCCTCTAGCCTGCCTTTTAGAGACCCCCTTCACTCCCAGAACCCCCCCAGCACTAGTTCCACCCCATGAGTCCCCAGTGCCTGCCCCGATCCCTTCACCTAACCTTGCGCTGCCTCCCGGCCACCATCTGAGCGCTGCTGCCCATGTTACAGCTGCTCTAAGACTGCCATGCTGGGCTCCACACTGCCCCCCTGCTGTGCAACAAACCACTCTTTCATGTCTGGGAGGAGGCCTCATCCCTTCCCTGTGCTGGTTGCTGAGAGGTGGGACAGGACACGCCTCTCCCAACAGCTGTAGCAGGAGGAGAAGTGCTTAGCAGTGTACCTTAGCCCCAGCCCCTGGAGCTGCTATGGCCCAGCAGCCAGCGGTTCGCACCCCGGCATTGGTCTGCGGTCCAGCGGTTGGAAACTGTTAGTGTAGACTACGTGATTAATCAGTAAGCTTAGGCTGATTGGTTAATCCTGTCGACTACACACATTTTCCCCATCCCCTTACAGCCTCTGTATCAGAGGTAGCAAGGAGGTGGGGGTGGGAGCCGGTGCTGGAGGGAGCCAGCTTTTAAGCCGGCTCCCCCCGCACCAGCTTTGTGGTGTCACCTGCCCCTCACCCCTATGCTGCTGCCTCTATCAGAGGCAGCAGCATGGGGGGTGGGGGGACAGGCAAGGGAGGCTGCCGCGAAGCAGCCTCTGTCTGCAGTAGGCTTGAGTTTGCCGTGGACAGAGGCTGCTCTGTGGCAGCAGCCTCTGTCAATGGGGGGGTCTGAGCTCCCTGCAGATAGGGGCTTCTGTCACAGAGCAGCCTCTCTCCTGTGGGGAGTTTACACTCCCTGTGGGCAGGGGCTGCTGCTGCTCTGTGTACTGTCTTGGTATTTTTAAACTAGCTCCCCTTATGGACCGGCTCCTACCTGGCACCCTGCACTGCTGCCCCAATAGAGAGGCAGCAGCATGTGGTGGTAGGGGGTTCCCCTGGAATGGGGCTGGTAGCACACTGGTTTCTGGTCCCACCCCCAGGGACTCTTGAATAGTCATATAACTGCTAAAATTTGTTGTTGTTACATGACTGTTCAATTACACACTATTTCACATCCCTAATTATAATTTTATATGCACACATAATCAAAGGTAATATACATGATGTGTAACACAGTATAGGAACCATAACTTCTTAATTTTCCCAGTTTTTGTGTGAGACTTTTAATTGTGAGATTTTAAAGTTACATTTAAATGCAATTTGCATTAAAATGGTGATTTATAGCCTTTTCAAACTTCCTATGTATTTTGATTCCTCCAGATTATAACTTTTGATTTAGACTGTTTTCTGCTTTGAAATGTTTCTCTCCATCAAATATCATTTTAGAAGCAAACATGGATTAGTTCTAGGTAGAGTTGGCTGAAACCCATTTAAAAATAGGAATTTTTTTAGTCTAAGTTTTTGTTAATTATAATTTTTTAAATTAGATTTCCTGCATCAGAATGGTCTAATTAATCTGTTAGATTAGGAATACAACTGATGCTTGTGGGGTTCTAGCATTAATTAATGATATCTTATGTGCTGCTATTTGTTTCTCTAGCCTCCGGTTAAATGGAATCCACCTCTGGGAGCTGGTTGATCTCTAGTGACATAGACTCTTCATAGCGGTTCCACCACATCTGGAGATTGCAATGAGTGGGGGAGGGGAGCAGCCAGACATCCTCAGTGTGGGAATCTTAGTCAAAGAAAGATGGAAAGTGGTGAGTATGTCTTGCTTTCATTTCTTTCTTTTTAAAAAAGTGTTGATCTTTGATGTGGTTTTTGCTTAGTACCAAAATTTATATTTGTCTGCCTGTACCAAATTCCTCTTGGTCTAATGCTCTTCCCTTTTATTGGACTTCTCTAATGTTTACACTGCACTATCACAAAGCCCTAGTCTGCAATGGAAAATGCACTGGAATGGGAAATTCAGTGCATTGCATCTGGAGATTACAATCAGTAGGGGAGGGGAGCAGTTAGGTATCCTCAGTCTGGGAATCTTAGTCAAAGAAAGATGGAAAGTGGTGAGTATGTCAAGAATTTATGACTGAAGGGCCAGATTCTGATTTCAGTTACAAAAGCTTAAATCATATATGAGTCCTTTTACCTCCATTGTTTTTGTGCAGTTTTAAATCTGTCACTGAGTGTAGAAGGTGGTGGTAAATACATCCATCATAGAAAAATATTCCAACCATCTGTGTCTAGTCAACGCTGACAAGGAAAAGTACCTTAAATTTCTGTTAGGGTGCTGCTGGTTTTACAACCAAGTTCTGCCTAACATGGATTGTTAACCCAGTATAAATGAAGCTTAAGACATGACCTTTATAAAACAAATACATTAGATGTAAAAATTTTACTTCCAGGAGGTGGAGAGAAACCTGGTGTTGATATTTATGGTGGTAATATAAACGCTGTTCCTGTTCTGGGGAGGGAGGAAAGATGGTTGGGTCCCAAAATCAGTGCTTGTCTTTCCCTTGAAAAAATGCCAGAATTCATGCTTCTTTCAGTTTGCTGTCTGAAGTAATTCATTGTGTATCTCTAAACATAAATTATACATTTGGGAGTTAGGTAAAGATTTGCAGTGGCAGTACATTTTCTCACAATTTTTAATTACTATATTTTGTTCTTTGTAACCACATAGCATAATGAGAAACTTATGACAATTCAGCAGAAAAATCTTATGTTAATTCAGAGTTCAAGTTGCTTGTTAGTGTGTTGACCAGTTGCAAAAATTGAGTTGAGCAAAACCCAAATTTCTGAAAATCAGGGCATGGTCGACCGTATCTCTGTGTTTCCTGGTTTTCAGACATTTTAATTCTGCTTATCTCAGCTTTCTGCAATGGGATGTCCCACCAAATAAGCTTGCTTCTGCACTAATGTTGTTCTTTGCCATTGATTTTCTGTATATTTGAATCAGGAAAGACATATTGTGGTAGGAGATAGTCTTCCACGTATCATGTCCTACAATTTGCATACTGATCCACCCAACCAGCCCCCTCTTCCTTTTCCCCTTCCACCATCAGCAGGGCCCCACTAGTCATGTTTTGGTATGTCTTTCAGGTCATACCCCTGCCCATTTAACTAAATTCTCACCTCCAAACTGATACCCTTTCCACCATTGTACTGATCGACTCCCAGCCATAAGTGGGAAATGCGCTTTCCTGAAACTCAAATTATTTCTTTTGCAGTCATACCACCCATTCCACTCTCAATCCCCAACTCACACGGAGTTCCTGGAGTTGAGGACATGTTACAGTGGAATGGTGTTCCTGATTGTGTTTTAGAATGTCTGGAGAGTGAAGTTTGTGTTTGGGCCAACAAGAGAAATCACAGACAAGGTTTCTGTTCCAAAACATTGACAGTTTTTTATATTTGACACAAAGTTCCTCTGACATCTGTCTAGTAGGTAGACTGCATATCTGAAAAACAGGGAGATGTCAGAGCTTGTAATTTTACTATAATACTCTACACCTTTTTTAGTTAATCATGAATTCTCTATTTTTCTTATACTTATTAATAACTTTCATATTGACACTGTAGCAGTTCTGCCAACACTCACAGAAAGCAATAGCATTTCCTAAATGCAAATCTGAAATGTGGTCCTAAACTGTTCTCATACACTGTTTGAGGTGTTCACCAAGAATAAGGCCAAGATCATTTCTATCTTTGGTAACCATAGCAATCTCTGATAGATCACAGTGTCTTAAAGTCACTGGTTCCATGCTGCAGAGTGGGCAAAACACGATGCTAGTGTTGGCCACTTGTTTCCAGTCAAATCAGTCCATAGTCAGCAATCTCCCTGTCATGGTGCATTCCTTGCTGTCCTGTAAACTTCTGCAGTCTCATGATCTAGGAATCCCCTGAATCCATATGTTGGCAACCTTGACAGCACACACATTTATTTTCCCTAAAAGGACAAAGGAAAAGAGGACAAGGAATCTGCATTGTCAGTTCCAAACCTACATGTTATATGTCTTTGGAAACATCCCATTAATCTGCCCTTTGATCAGGAAGTAGTTACAGTCATTCCTCATTTAACACTGTAGATATGTTTTAGAAAATGATCATGTTAAGTGAAAACGTGTTATGCGGGGTCAATTTTCCCATTGAAAATAATGGAAAAGGTGGGGGTTGCGTTTTGAGCGGTGGTGTCTGTTGGGACCGGGACATAAGGTTGAGGGAGAAAGGAGACTGGGTTACAGCAGGGAGGGGAGGTGTTTGGCTCTGGAGAAGGGAAGGAGAAGAGAGGGGAGGAGGATTGGGTTGGGAGTATGCCCCTGTGACAGGTCTGCTGGGACCTGCACTGCGTCTGGCAAGGGGTGGGGGTCACCAGGGAATGGTGTGGCGAGCGGCGAATCCTCTGCCGCTTTGCAGGGAGGCAGAAGAAGCCCTGTGCAGCTGCCGGCAACGGGCCGGATGGGGAAATCGTGTTATTCCAGGGATGGTCGTGTAATTAAAAAAACGTTCCCTAAAATAAAAATCATGCTATCACGAAAACGTGTTAAGCGGGCACATGTTAAATGAGGAATTACTGTACTTGCCCTCCCTCTGAGGCAAATAAAATATTCTTTTTTGAGTGCTTGAGTATTCCTGTTGGAGGGGGAGGAGGGTGCACCATGTTCACAGCTGCTGAAAAGTTTGTACCCTAGCTGCTGCCTGTTGGATCGGCTGTGCAGTCCCCTGAAGTGGAGCTGGTGGATCCCAATAGTCTTTAGCCCTGCAGCATGGAGTGTCAAATTCTGCACCTGCCCACAGCTCTATTGTCCTGGACTCTCCAAAGGTGGAAGTGATGCTGTTTGGGCTGTCCTCCATGCACACATTCCAGACGGCTGGGGGTTTTATTGAAATGCCCTAGTCTATTTCCAGGGACAAGCCCCTTGAAGCCTTCAAAACTTCACAGAGGAAGCTGGCCATGCCAAGCCCTCTTGCTCAATTCTCAGTGTACCTCCTCTTTGAGTTTCAGCATCTCTCAGAGTCCCCGTACCGCTTAGCTGAGCATAATCAGTCTGGTGATTCATGGCACCATGCTTGCATCTGATCCCCTTGGAACCATTCCTACTCAAGTCTCCATGACGAGCAGATCCTGGTCGGGCTCAGAGTTGTCTAGTCATTCCAGCTGCTCCCATACTGCTTTGCACTGAAGAGGCTCTTGACATCGCAGTTTGCCATCTCACCTCTCTCTGCACCGATCTCCAGAGCACAGATGTTCCCCAGAATGCGTGATCTCATGCCAGCACTGCTCCACACTGTGGGGGGGAGCCTGCCTTGGCATGGATCCCTGTCTCGGCAATACTCTCCTCACCAGGTCTGCTTTTCACACCAGTCTCGTTTCCAACATCAGTCTGACTCCTAACTCCAGTATTGACCTCAATTCCAGTGCAGGTCAATGATTTGGCACCATGTGACCTATAGGTGCCGCATATGGACTTCACGCAGGTCCCAGTCCCATAAGCAGTCCTTATATCACCTTTCCTTGTTTCAAGGGCAATGAAGCCCAGCTCTGACCCTCGATGGCGACAAGCTTGACGCAGTCTTGGCCTTCTCACTTGGGTCCGCCTGCTTCTATTCCGAGTGACCCCCACTCCCTCCCATGGCTTCGGACAGGATAATGCCGGCGAGCCTTTGGCCCTTCATGGTTCAAGCTGGGCCTCAGTGGCCATCACATTGGTCATTTTGGACAATGGGTATTTCTTCAGGCCCAGGGCACATTGCCCACTGGGCCCCTGTCAGCTTTGTTGAAATCCTGGGTCCTGGAGGCCACTGTCATTCAGCAGCTGCTTGAGCCAGCCACCCCTGCTATACCACCACCTGAAATCCAGCCTAGCCTTTGGGTGCAAGCCCAGGGCCAACCTGGAGATGGCCAGCAGTGTCTTTGTCCTCGTCCCTGAATGAGGCTAAGGATGTCAATGGTTAACTGGTTAACCAGTAAGCATCACCCTTATCAGGTGATAAGTGATGCTTACCAGTTAGCCAGTGGCCCAGCTGGGTTGAAGCAAGCCTCTGCTTCCTACTGACTCCCAACTGTGGCGGGTCCCAGCCCAGCTGGAGAAGGGAGCAGCCTCCTTCCCACCCCATTTAAGTGGTTAAGCAATTAAACATAACACTTAACCAGTTAACTGATTAAATGGGATTTTACATCCCTAGATGAGGCAGTGGCGAACACCTCTATCATGGGCCCAGCTCCTATGGACTACAGGGCTCTACAGGATCTGCTCTGCAAGATAGCCCTTAGCCTTAAGCTCCAGGTAGAGGAGGTCCTGGAACAGGGTGATCTGATGGTCGACATCCTGACCCCTGAGGGCCCACCCAGAGTGATGCTTCCCATTAATAAGACCATTCTGTCCGTGGCCATGACTGTATGGCAAACCCCTGCCTCTATTCCACCAATGGCAAAAGGGGTCGAGAGAAAGTACTTTGTCCTGGTCAAGGGGTTTGAAACTTGTTTACGCACTCCCCACACCTTTTCTGTGGTGGTGGAGGCTGTAAATGAGAGAGAATGCTCCAGGACTCTCAAGAGGAGTTTGCCACCTTGGTTTAGGATGGCAAGGCAGTCTCCTGTATCTGCCTGCAGGCATCTTTGGATGCCAGGGAATTGGTGGCATGGGTCATCTCCTTAGCTATAGTCATGCACCGGGTTGCCTGGCTCCAGACATTGGGCCTTCCTTCTGAGGTCCAGCAAATCCTGCAGGACCTCCCCTTCAATGGCATGGATCTCTTTGCT